CCAAAGGCAGCACTTTACACAGATGTGGGGAAGGAACTCTGGGAGTTCTGGCTCAGTTCTGCAACATGGAAGTCATCTAGCGACAGAAGTGAGCTAGAGAAGTGACCAAGAGTTCTTTAGTTTCAATGACTCAAATATCAAGTCCTGTGATTCCCGAAATGACCTGTAGAGGGCGCTCTCTCTAAACTATGGACACTGACTCCCCAGGAGTGACCGCGACAGCCTGGGGTTTATTGCAGGCTCTGCGCACCGGGCGGTTTATATTTCTCTCTTTATGGGTGCACGGAAAACAACAAAACAATCCCAAATGGCTAAAAAGAAGAAAAAAGTTCACACTAAATTGTGAGTTTTTTCCAACTTCCCTTTTCTTTTTAGCAACATAATTACTATGATTTAAAAAATAATAATAATAAGACAAACAAACAAAAATTAAACACATAGCGTGGTTCTTCTTAACAAAGTTTTGCTCGGAGTTTTAAAAGTAGGAGCAAAAGTTTTGAAATGAAAAGACTTGAAGATTACTATACTTGTTTTAGTTTAAAAAGCTTCATTGTACGGGTTGTTTTATTTCCTGGCATTCACACATTTCCTTCTATTTTTTGTGCTTTAATTATATTTCTTTGTCTAATTTTGAAGAAAAAAGCTCACTCATCAGTTGGGGTGGCATCTGACTTCAAAACAGAGTCCCAAGGAGACAACTGATTTCCTTTTTTTTTTTTTTTCATGTAGCTAAAGGTTTTAATTTTTCTGTAGTCTTCCATAGCTGGGTGCCACTGGTCTGTGTGTCCTTACCTCCTGAAACTTAATTCTGGTTACTGTAGTTATCTATAGTTATGTAAGTCTCATAATGAGTATACTGACCCTGCCTACTGCTTCATTGCGTCAGTTGCTTTAGCCATTCTAATGCTGTGGCCTTTGTATAAAAACTTTAGAATAGTCTTATTGACATCCACACTATTGTTGGGAATTAGAGACAAACTGTATGAGAACTGTGCATCTGTCTGGGAAGGACTGTTGTGTATGTATATGTGCCAGTGTGTATGTGTGTGTCTATGTTGTGTGTCTGTGTATATATATGTTTGTGTTGTGTGTGTGTCGGTGTATATGTAGGTCTGTGTTTTGTGTGTGTGTTGTTTGTGTGTTGTGTGTGTGTGCGTGCGTGCACACTTATGTATTCTTACAGATTTATCTACTCTTCTGTTCCCCCGAGCACCACTGGACCTCTGGTAATGGTGGCCCTGGCACAATGGGAATGTATCCCCTAAGGTCTAAAAGTGACAGGAGCCAAGGGGTGGTTGGACGTGTGAAGCAGAGGCAGTGGCAAGTGGAGGAGCAGTCTTGAATCTCAGAGGTCAGGTCCTTTGTTACGTGAGTCTTCCAGGTGGCCATATCTCTGCCAAACTGAAATGTCCACCTACTACAGTCCAGAGAAATAGACGAGATGCTGGGGTCACGGTTGCACTGCTGGGTCATGTGGGCGGGGAGTCCCAGATGCTGCTGTGATGGAATACAAGACCATGGGGAGGACGGCATGCAGGGTGTCTCTCCTCCAGAGAAGAGGACAGCGTGCAGGGTGTCTCTCCTCCAGAGAAGAGGACAGCGTGCAGGGTGTCTCTCTTCCAGAGAAGAGGACAGCGTGCAGGGTGTCTCTCCTCCAGAGACGTGAATTCTGACTGTCTCTGATGGTGTGAGTGTGTCAGAAGGCAATGCGAGTTCTCCTTTGAAGCAAAGCTCCCAGGATCCAGGCGGCTCCTAATTCACTTTAACCCCGTGATAACTGTTGGGCCATCCTCTGGTCAGTTAGTGTCACCTGGGGCCAATCAGTGAGATCTGCTGGGGGTCTCTTGTCCAGCCTTTCCTGCAGAGCCCTGGTTACCCTGGGGTTTGCTCCTCTCCCCGTGCTCCCATCTGAGGTATCAGTGTGAGTCCCCGTGTCTCCTCTGTCCCTGCGCCCCCCCTAGTCACGCAACTCTGATGCATTCATTGTACTTTCTTGTGGAGGCCAGCACTGAGCTCTTCGATTGGACCATCTCAGAAGGGAAATTCTACCATGAAAGTGTTTCAGAATGGACAGTTTGAGAATTTGGGGTTTATTTGCTGCTTGGCTGCCAGCACATCTCCTGAGGCAGGGATCCTCAGGGTAGCACTCTTTCTTGCTTGGGGTTTTCAGAGTCAAATTGCAGAAGGAAAGCTGAGGCCAAGCAACACACATTTATAAAGTGACCACTGAGTGGCCAGTCAGGAGCCTTCCTCTCAGACCGCTTGTCAGCATGTTAGTGGCAATAGGACAATGGGAGAGGGAGGGGTAGGCCAGAGGCATGATCATAACCTTTCCTGGAGCAGGCAAAGATTCTCGGAACATGAGCATCCCACCCTTAATGGCTCAGTGCTTCCCGTCTTGTCTGCTGGTAGGTGTGCCACTCGGAATATAATGAATCCAGAGGTTATCTGGTGGTCACCCTGGCAACCACTTTAGATCTCTCTGATGTTGAATCAGTCACTGAAGAGAAACTTTTGGCCTTTGAGCACCCTGTTCTCAAACACTAGGGTGGGGTAGAAATTTAACTAGGTCATGTAGACAGCTCACTGGGTAACAACTCATATGGGAAACTGCACAGCTATTTAAATCAAGGATATTTTCTTAAGCTCCCTTAGAGCCCTTACACGCCTAGGGTCTAAGCGGTCACTCTGACTCCCCTCACATTAGGATGAAGGGAAAGATATCAGGAACCTTGGGACTGGCCATGGGGCTGTGGAACAAGAGCATGTGAATGCCTGGGGAGGCTAAGAAGAGGGTGTGGGATAGCCTGGAATTATAGACAGCTGTGAGCACCCATGTGGGTGCTGGGACTCGAACCTGGGTCCTTTGCAAGAACTAAGTGCTTTTAACTGTTGAGCCATCTCTCCGGCCCCATCTGCCCAGTTACTTAGACCTTCCACCATGCCATTCTAGACACCAGACGAGAAACAATGGGACCGGCTACTGATCTGGTGGGGTTCAGCCTTGCCTTTGGTCTATGTCTTTCTTCCTATGCCCCATACCCCCCTTTCAGAAGGTAAATGTTTTCTCCATAGAATGGTATCTTGGAAGTGCCCCCCCCGTTTTATATAGGGGATCAGAGCTAGACATTGGCCTTGGGAGGAGACTTTAGAGCAAAATTGAAACTTCTGCAACTTGAAGAACTCTTGGAGACGGGCTAAATGTTCATTATGCGATGGGAAATGGGTATTAGGGAGAGCAGAGGTGTCGTGGTTTGAGGATGAAATGTTTTCCCCAAGACCAAGCACCATAGCTCCTGGGAGTTAGTACAGCTCTCAGGACATGGGACTTCATGCTCAGAAGTGAGTCTCTGGGGTTGTGCTCTTGCCGCTCCTGTCTGCTTCCTGCCGCCAGGAGGTGAACAGCCTTCTAAGCTCTCCTGCTTCAATGACTTTCTCCATTACTACAGGCACAAAGCACCGAAGCCACCATGGACTGAAACCTCTGAGCCCAAGTGACAAAGCAAACCTTCCTCTTCTTCAGCTGCTAGTCTGGGGTGCATTGTGACGGTGACGTAAGCCCGACCGATGCGTTCGTCTCTTGTAGAAACTTCCCATGAGTACAGTCTTCTCTTCCTGAACCAGGGGGATCTCTGTGAGTTCAAGGCCAGCCTGGTCTACAGAGTGAATCCACGACAGCCAGGGCTGCACAGAGAAACCCTGTCTCAAAACACAAAGCAAACAAACCAAAAAATAAACAAATAAAAACCAATACAACTCCCCCCAAAACAAAATAAAACAAAACAAACAGAAAAAAAAAACCAGAAAAACTGAAACCAGAAAAATACAAAGAAGAGCATGGGAGGAAAGCAATGGGTGATGACCATTTAGGCATGGTCCCAAAGAATAGGCAAGAAAAGGGAAAGAGCCAAGTCCCCTTGAAACTATTGAGATCTGGGGACACTGAGAAGGCAAGGCTATGCAAAAGCACACATCTGAAGAAAACTTGTCTTTCTATGGAAAGACAACTTGTCTCTCTAGAAATAGAGAAAGGAACCCTTGACTACACCCAATGGGAAAGCAGTTCCTGTGTCCACAGGAAACTCTGCAAACAGTTGATAGAGAAGAATCTGACATATCCAAATATGACTTGTAAATAGGAACCAACGCAGCCTTCTTATACAGAATACACACTTTTATTTTATTTTTTGTTATTGTTTTTTGAGTCATAGTTTCTCTGTCCTGGAACTTGCTCTGTAGACCAGGCTAGCTTCGAACCCACAGAGATCTGCCTGCCTCTGGCTCCCAAGTGCTGGAATTAAAGGTGTGCATCACCACTGTCCAGTTAATGTACACACTTTTTTAATTTAATTTTTTATTGATTTTTTTATTGAGCTCTACATTTTTCTCTGCTCCCCTCCCTGCCTCTCCCCTCCCCCCACTTCAACCTTCCCCCAAGGTCCCCATGCTCCCAAATTACTCAGGAGATCTTGTCTTTTTCTACTTTCTTTTTTTTTTCTTTTTTTATTGAGAAAAGGAGAAAAAAAAAAACAAGTTTCTACCTCCTCCCAGCCTCCCATTTCCCTTTCCCTCCTCCCACCCTACGCCCCCTCTTCCCACCCTTCTCCCCCTCCCCCCACTCCTTTCCTCCTCCCTCTCCAGTCCAAAGAGCAGTCAGGGTTTTCTGCCCTGTGGTAAGACCTAGGACCTCCCACCTCCGTCCATATCTAGGAAGGTGAACATCCAAACTGGCTGGGCTCCCACAAAGCCATCACATTACGTAGGATCAAACCCCCGTGCCATTGTCCTTTGCGTCTCATCAGCCCTCATTGTTCGCCATGCTCAGAGAGTCCAGTTTTATCCCATGCTTTTTCAGTCACAGTCCAGCTGGTCTTGGTGAGCTCTCAATAGATCAGCTCCACTGTCTCAGTGGGTGGGTGCATCCCTCGTGGTCCCGACTTCTTTGCTCATGTTCTCCCTCCTTCTGCTCCTCATTGGGACTTTGGGAGCTCAGTCCAGTGCTCCAGTGTGGGTCTCTGTCTCTATCTCCATCCATCACCAGATGAAGGTTCTATGATGATATGCAAGATATTCGTCAGTATTGCTCAAGGATAGGGTCATATATAGTTATCCGCTTGGCTAAGGGAAGTAGACAAAATTGCCGGGGAGAAAATTGGGATCTTGGGGTGGGGTGGGTTGGGGGTAAGGGGAGATGGGGAGAGAAAAGTTAGAAGGGAAGGAGGTCGGGCCTTGGGAAAGCAGGAGGATTGGGATAAAGGAAGGTTGGACAGGGGAGCACGGAACCACAATTCTTAGTTAAGGGAACCACTTTAGGGTTGGCAAGAGACCTGACCCTAGAGGGGCTCCCAGGTGTCCAAGCTGAGGTCCCCAGTTAGTTCCTTGGGCAGTTGAGAATAGGGAACCTGAAATGACCCTATCCTTTTTCTACTTTCTACTTCCCATGTAGATTAGATCTATGTAAGTCTCTCTTAGTGTCCTCATTGTTGTCTAAGTTCTCTGAGATTGTGGTTTGTAGGCTGGCTTTCTTTGCTTTATGTTTAAAAACCAGCTATGAGTGAGTACATGTGATAATTGTCTTTCTGTGTCTGGGTTACCTCACTCAAAATAATGTTTTCTAGCTCCATCCATTTTCCTGCAAAATTCAAGCTGTCGTTATTTTTTTCTGCTGTGTAGTACTCCATTGTGTACTTATCCATTCTTTGGTCGAGGGGCATTTAGGTTGTTTCCAGGTTCTGGCTATGACAAACAAAGCTGCTGTGAACATAGTTGAGCACATGTCCTTGTGACACGATTGAGCATCCTTTGGATATATACCCAAAAGTGGTATTACTGGGTCTTGAGGAAGGTTGTTTCCTAATTTTCTGAGAAATCGCCACACTGACATCCAAAACGGTTGTACCAGCTTGCATTCCCACCAGCAATGTAGAAGTGTTGTTCCCTTTTCCCCACAACCTCTCCAGCATAAGTTGTCATCAGTGTTTTTGATCTTGGCCATTATTACAGGTGTAAGATGGAATCTCAGAGTTGTTTTGATTTGCATTTCTCTGATGACTAAAGATGTTGAACATTTCTTTAAGGTCTTTCAGCCATTTTAGAGTACATACTTTTAAGTTTGAGGACTAGCACACAGCATTTCCATGGGTGTGGTCATCAGAAATGAGAACGAGGCCAAAGGTTTCAATGTGAATTAAAGAGAATATTTTAAAAGCGAGTACTAGACTGGGGAGATCTCAGTCCCATCCTTAAAGGCTAGACTCACAGCCAAAAGCTTAAGAAAGCAACTTCAGCCAGAAAGAACCAGAGAAAGTAAATACATGATAACACAGACAACTTGGCAGTTGTAGAAATTAAAACAGAGCTGGTGGGATTCAGAAAGAATAAGATTGAGAACAGGCCCAACAGGCCAGTGAAGACAGAGCACAGTGAGGAATGGCTACACAGAATGATCCGGAAGAGGAAGAGGAGAAAAGTAAGGTCATGGGAAATCATTGGCCCATGCCAGAACTTAATGAACATGTAAAAGATACGCCAGGGGTAAAAGGATTTTTATAACCAGTCACCCTGCCCTCCTGGAATAAGGGCTACCAACCATTTCAAACACAGAACAAGAGTAGGGGGCTGGAGAGCTGCCTAGGTAAGAGCACTTGCTGCTCTTGCAAGGGACCCAGGTTTGTTTTTCAGCACCTTCATGGTAGCCAACAGCTTTCTGTAACTACAGTTCCAGGGGATCTGATGCCCTCCTCTGGTCTCCAAGAACACCACCTATGCAGGGTACACAGGCATGTTTTTAATCAAAACATTCATAAACATAAAGTAAAAATAAGTAAATCTTTTTTTAAGAGGAAGAACTAAACACCTTTAGTTCTGGCACTTGGGAGGCAGAGGCAGGTAGATCTCTATGACTTCAAGACCACTGCCTGATCTATGTAGCAAGTTCCAGGCCAGGCAGAGCTATGTAGTGAGTTCCTGTCTCAACCAACCAAACAACAAACAAACAAAAAAATGGTTTTTTTTTTAAAGGAGAAGGAAGGAAGGAAGGAAGGAAGGAAGGAAGGAAGGAAGTCAACAAGGCTGGAGAACTCTCCATGTTTAAGGGATCTTGCTGCCCAACCTAATCACAGGGAGCTGAGTCTGGCTCACGAACCCCCACAGAAAAAGTCGAGGCCGGCAGCACAAGCACCTGTCCTCCATCACTGTGGAAACTGAGAAGGAGGATCACTGGGGCTTGCTGCCTGGCAACCTAGCTCCAGGTTCAGTGAGAGACCCTGCCTAGGGGTACGGTGGAGCCCAGGATCCCCACACCCTCCTTTGGCCTCTGTGTGTATACATGGTCCTGCTCACCTGCATACACAGGTCATAATCACACCCAGTGGGCTGGCAACAGGGGAAGACTCTTGCCTCCAAGCCCAAGGATCTGAGTTCAATCCCCAGCACCCACATGATGGCCAGAAAGAACAAATCCCTCAAGTTGTTTTCTGACCTCAGCATGCACTCTGTAGCGGGCGTGTACCTACTCCCACACCCCATCTGCATGTAAACACAAGATAAATTAGAACGTAATGAAAAAATTAAAAACAAAAGGAACACTGTTCTATTTGTGAGTGGATGGGTTGTACCTGTGTGTGTGTGTGTGTGTGTGTGTGTGTGTGTATGTGTGTGTGGGTGTGTGTGCGTTCACTTACCTGTGGAGGCCTGAGATTGTTTTTGCTTAATTCTTTTCCACCTTATTTTTGCGATAGGATGCCCCACTGAACTAGAAGTCCATGGATTTGGCTAGGTTAGCTGGCCGATGAACTTCACATCCACCCCTCTTTGCCCCACAGTGCTAGGGTTACAGATGCATATGGCCACATCTGGATTTTCATGCAGATGTTGGGATCCAAAAGCATAAAGTCCTCACACTTGCCACAGGTACTTAACTGAGACAACTCTCAGCCTCTATGGAAGCCACTGGAAGACGAATTCCAGGCAGCTAAAGAGAGATTCTGTCCAAGGGGCTGGGTGTAAATACTGATACATATTTTCTCCCTTCCTTCCTCCTCCCTCCCCCCTCCTTCCTTTCTTTTTCTGCAGAAGCATGATGAACAGAATGATGCTGGCTAGAGGAAAGTGATAAGTATTCCATTTCTTATAATGTGGGGATTACGTAACCATTAAATTAGGGAACAAGGAGAACAGATGGAAAATGGAATAAGCCTCTGGTAGCAAAAATATGTTTAACAGGAAAAAGATACAAGTTAAGGACATTAAGATTGGGTTTTCTAGTTGAGTGGTAGGGAAAATATGGAAAGAATATAATACAAAATGATTTTAGCGTTGCTCACATAAAGAACTGTTATTTGAGATGATCAAAATACAACTATCGCAAGTCACTGTGAGGAGAAAAAGTCTTCCTGAAGAGTGAGAAACAACGGTATAAAGCAAAGCAAACGGCTGGGCGTGGTGGTCACACCATCAGTCCTGGGTCAGCAGAGGCTGGTGAATCTCTGAATTCAAGGCCAGCTTGTGTCGTTGGTTGTTTTTATACTTTTTTTGCTCTTTTCTCTTTGGAGATTCGCCACCCAGATCCCAAATAAATTTTACATGGAGTCTTATTCTTCCTTACGAATGTCTGGCCTTAGCTTGGCTTGTTTCTAGTCAGCTTTTCTTAAATTATCCTGTCTTTCTTTTGCCTCTGGGCTTTTGTCTTTCTCTGTCCTATATACCTTTTTTTACTTCTTACTCCAAGGCTGGCTGGGTGGCTGGGTGGCTGGGTGGCTGGGTGGCTGGGTGGCTGGGTAGCTGGGTACTTGGCCCCTGAAGGCCTCTTCTTCTTCTCTTGCTTCTCGATCTTTTTCCTCCCAGATTTCTCCTCCTATTTATCCTCTCTGCCTGCCAGTCCCACCTATCCTTTCTCCTGCCTCCCTCTCCACTCTTCAATACTTTATTAGATCAACCAGACACTTTAGACAAAGTAACACAGTTTCACAGAGTTAAGCAAATGCAACATAAAAGAATGCAACACATCCTTGCATCATTAAACAAATGTTCCACAGTATAAATACATGCAACGTATCTTAAAATAAGATTCCACAATAAGCAAGGTCTACACACAGAGTTCCAGGTCAGCCAGGACTACACAGTGAGATGATGTCAAGTTAAAAACACAAAATAAAGGCAAAAGCAAACAGTTCATTTATGAAAGTATTTAACTATTGTCTGTATTAATAGACATAGAGACATATGGAACAAAGACACATGTATGAAGAGAATCCCAGCATCCAGGAACAGATACACATGACAATAAATGTAAGTCAACTCATCTTGCCTACTGCTAGGAAAGTTTGTGTTCGCTCCTGTGCGGTACATAAAAGACATGTTTAAAATTAATCAGGAGGCTGCAAATAAGAGGGTTGGTGTTTGCGGGTTAGTTTGAGACATTAGGATGAGCCCATGTCTAGCTTTCTAGATATGGATGGCTAAACATTAAAATACTGCTAGACATGGTGACGCACACTGGTAATCATAGAGCTTGGGAGGTTGAGGCAGGAGGATCACAAGTTCAAGATCATCCCTAGCTACAGAACAAGTTTAAGGCTAGCCTGGGGTACATGAAACCAACCAAATGACAAGACAATAGTGATAGGTTTGTGTAGGTTTATTGGTTATCGGGCACACGTGACACCAGCACCCTGGCAGCTGAGAGCAGTTAGAAACGATGATGGTCCAGTATCAACAATCAGGGCCTGGCCGGTGATGCTCCTGCGTACTGAAGAGAACCAAGGTCCCTCTCCTCGGGGGATGACCAATTATACGATGAGGGCACAAATTATGAAGCACGAGCCTGGAACATCTTTTTAAAATTCCTTTTTTATAGTATTTCTTTAAATGAGTGAGTGCACGTATGTACATGTACCGGCTTGTCCATATGAGCACCACACGCATGCAGCCTGACTCCTTGAAACTGGAGTTCAGGTGCCTGTGAGCTGCCAGTGTAGTGTGGGCGCTGGGACCTGGAGGTATAGGTGTCTCAGCTGCCGGGGCAGTGTGGGTGTTGGAACTGGTGGTACGGGTATCTCAGCTGCCGGGGCAGTGTGGGTGCTGGAACTGGGGGTACAGGTGTCTGAGCTGCTGGTGTGTGGGTGCTGGGAACTGGGGGTACAGGTGTCTGAGCTGCTGGTGCAGTGTGGGTGTTGGGAACTGGACCTGGGTCCCCTGCAGGAATAGCAAGTGCTCTTAACTCCTGAGATATCTGCCTTAGTTAGGGTTTCTATTGCTGTGATGAAACATCATGAGCAAAAAGCAACTTGAGGAAGGGGCTTATTTGGCTCACACTTCCACATTGTAGTCTATCACTGAAGGATGCCAGGTCAGGAACTCAAATAGGGTAGGAACCTGGAGGCAGGAGCTGATGCGGAAGCTGTGGAGGGGTGCTGCTTACTGACTTGCACTCCACGGCTTGCTCAGCCTGCTTTTTTTTATAGAAACCAGGACCACCTGCCCAGGAATGACCCCACCCACAATGGGCTGGGCCCTCCACCATCAATCACTAGTTAAGAAAACACCCTACAGGTTTCTTATTGTCAAATCTTACTGAGGCCTTTTCTCAGCTGAGGCTCCCTCCTCTCCAACGACCCCAGCTTGTATCAAGGGGAGGTAAAACTAGCCAGCATGCCATCTTTCCAACCCCTTTATAGTTTCCCATTTGATTTTCTAGACTTTAGTATTAATGTGCATGTGTGTTCAAGCACATGTGTATGGCCACATGTTTGGAGGTCACGAGGGTTAAAGGGGAATAATGGAACAGGAATGGTCAAACTAAGGTGGGAAAGTGGAGGAGCAGAGTGTGGGGAGGGACAAATGACACTTCTGAAAAAGACATGGGGAAACCCACTACTGTATAAGTTTACATGTATCTATATATATCTATCTATCTATATATATATATATATCTTACACACACACACACACACATATATATCATTGACATATATGCTTGTATGTACATATGCATATTTATATTTAAAATGGAGTTTCCCAGGATGGACACATAGTTCAGCAGTTAAGAACACTTGCTCGGGGCTGGTGAGATGGCTCAGTGGTTAAGAGCACTGACTGCTCCTCCAGAGGACCCGGGTTCAGTTCCCAGCACCCACATGATGGCACCTCGCAGCTCCAGTTCAAGAGAACCTACATCGTTATACCAATGTGCATGAAATAAAGTTGTTGTTGTTTTTTTTAAAAAAAAAAAAAACACTTGCTCTTGCAGAGGACCTGAGTTCAGTTCCCAGGCCCCGCATGGTTCACTGCCATCTGTAACTCTGGTTTAGGAGATTTGATGTCCTCTGAAGGTTCCAGGCATGCATAAATCAATCTAATTTCTAATGCAGCTACCCTATTATAGGGCAACAACGACTCTTCCAGAGACTAGTAAGTCAAAGCCCAGTGCCAGGTATGAGTTCCTTCTTTTGGAGTTGTTGGCTGCTGAGGTCCCATAGATCCACGAATATTATAGGTTATTGCCTTTGCCCTTGAGCACATAGCATTGGGAACATATCAATGACATTGATAAAAATGGAAAGAGGACCTAGGGATGTAGCTCAGTAGGGAGAATGCCAGCCTCAAATACACAAAGCCCAGAACCGCAGAATGAGTGCGGTGGCACAGGCCTGTGACTCTAGCATCCCGGTGGTGGAAGTCACTGAACCAGAAGTTCAAAGTCATCCTCTGGTACAAAGTCTGAAACCAGCCAAAGCAAAACTGGGAGGCCTGACAAAGAAACCCATCTTCGTTGTGGGCAAGTCCACGGAAGCTGGAATGGGGAGAAAGGCATTCAGCAAGGTTCTGGGAAGCAGGGATTTCAGATTTCTGAGAGAAGTCAGCCGCTGAAAGGGAGACCTAGGAGAGAGCAGCCACCGGAGGACTGAGCCTTGAGACACACCTCCTCTTTAGAGCGGGGAACAGGAAGGAACCAGTTTGGGTGAGCCTCAGAACCAGCACAGGAAGAAGTGGAAGGCAGAGCAAGTGACCCCTGTCTTCTAAGTGTAAATTTTTATCTATAATTTGAACGTGTGAGAAAAGGGACGTGAGGACCACAGCACATCTTTAGAAACGGGTACAAGTGAGGGCGCTCCCTTCAACTGTGCAGAGACTTCCACAGCAGTAACTGAGTTTAGGATTACCGCCCTCCCCCACGGCGGCCAAAGAACACTGGTGATAAACCATTTGCTTCTGTCATTCCGTCCAGCCACCCCTTATCCCTTCTTAGCCAGTATCCTTGTTGTTTTCATGGCATGCCCCTAATCGTGTCCCTCCAGCCTGCCCCAATTTCCTCAGTGTCAGTGAGCCAGCTGCTTTTTGTTGGATGGGAGGGTAAACTCTCCAAGGGCCTAAAGTGAGTTCGCCCCTGGCATAGTGGCACACATCTACGATCCCAGTATTCAGATGGTTGAAGCAGCGGGGTGAGAGCTCAAGTCTAGCCTGGGCCACCACCATGAAACCCTGAGGAGCTTGCTTCTACCTCTGAGGTTCTGTTCATGGCAGCTCCTTCCCACCTTCTTATGAGCTGTGTCCTTAATGTCAGCTGCAGGAAGACCTCGAATATGCCCCGGTGCCTGCTGCTCTACAGCTGGTTATCTTCTAGGCGAGAATAGCGAATCCACAGTGGTAATTCCCCTCTGTATGGTAGGAGGTGGTGCCTCTCCGGAGGCCCAGACAGCAGACTTTCCCCATGCGATAAAGAAACAATGACTCGGATGAGCTGCAAGCTGCATAGACCTAGAGAGCAACTAGAACTCAGAATTTCTGAGTCCGAGTTCAGTGTTTTTCATGTAATTTCTCATGTGTTTCTTTAATGTGACTTCTTAGGTATTCAATGTTAAATCTTCACGTTACTTACATATAATTTGTTATTTGGCATTGACATGTTTTCTTCATCTTACCGAACTTGTTAATAAAAATTAAATGGCACTGTAGGATCAGGACAACCTGCACACACACACACATACAAACTCTCTCTCACACACACACATACACACACACACATACAAACTCACACACACACACACACACACACTACCATTACAGGATCAGGACAACCTGCACACACACACACACATACAAACTCACACACACACACACACACACACACTACCATTACAGGTTCAGGACAACCTACACACACACATACAAACTCACACACATACACACACACACAAACTCACACATATACACACACTACCATTACATGATCAGGACAACCTGCACACACACGGGCACACACAGGCACACACACCATATACAGGATCCTGCTAGTCACTCCTATGGTCTTTGTGAATTCATTCCTTCTCCTCTCTTCCTTTCTGAGAGCAAGATAGGAATTTTTTTAACGCACAGAATAGCACTGGGCTGAAGGAAACAAACAAGGGGACCACCGACTGCCAGGCCTTCTTCCTCAACGCAGCTTCTGTCCAGAAGAAAACAGAAAGAACTCTCCAAACGGGGCTTCTGTGTCTGGATTCAGAGTCAGGCAAGCTGAGGCAGAAGTCAGGAAGCCGATCACCAGGGTTAGTTCTCCTGGTGGTCAGCTGAATACTGATTGGACAAAGGGTAAATGAAACCCCATGAGAACCAGAAAACAATTGCCAGAGGGCAATGGCTTGGGATTCTGTTGCTGTGATAAAACATTGTAACCAAAAGCAACTCAGGGAGGGAAGGGTTTGTTTTATGTTCCAGGGAAGCCAGGGCTGGAACTCAAGGCTTACCTGCTTGCTTTCGGGCTCCTGTTCAGCTTCCTTTCCTACACAACTCAGGACAACTGCCTAGGGGCAGCACTCCCACTGTGGGCGGGGCCCTCCTACATCAATCATTAATCAAGGCAAAGTCCCATAGACTTGCTCACAGGCCAATCTGAGGGAAACATTTTCTCAACTGAGGTTCCTCTTCCCAAATGATCCAGTGTGTCCCAAATTAATAATAAAAACTAACTAACCAGCCTAACAATCATATTTTATACAAGAAACATTTTGGAAGCTAATGCAGCCATTGCAGGCTTGAGGACAGAGCTCAGGATAGCATGTGGAAGGCCCGGTTTGACCAAAGGCTGGGGTTTGACCTCCAGCACCAGGAAAGAAAAAAAAAAAGAAGCAGTCAAACAACAACAGCAACAGCAACAGCAGCAGCAGCAGCAACAGCAACAGCAACAGCAACAACAGCAACAACAACAAAAACCCAATCCAACCAAAGCAAACCAAAACAACAACAAAACATTCCGGACCGGACCAGAGTGGGTAAAGCTCCTCAGCAGGCAAGTCTGAGGACGTGGGTCTGGTTGCAGGAGTCCAGATGAAGGAGGAAAGAAAGAGTTCACAAGGCTAGCCGGCCTCTGACCTCCATGTGTGCACCAGGGCAGTGCATACACACATATACATATTACTATTGTTGCAAAATAATAATAATAAATATAATAAAAAAATAAGAGTTGCCAAAGTCGATATGTATCTTTCACCTAGGGTGAAATACAGTCAGAAATCACACAAAGAATAAATGTAGTCAAATAGATCCAAAGGAAAGTGTCACCAGTTGGGTCCCTGGGAGTCATGAGAAGATGGGGGACAGATCACCAAAGTCTATTAAACCAGAAGCATACTTTATTTCAGGAAAAAATTTTAAAAAATAAATCTCCATGGGGCACAAAAAGCTTATCGGCTAGCTAAGACCACAGCCAGTGATGGACCTGTAAGCCTGCGGCAATGGGCTGTTTCTGAACTCCCTTTTTACAGCAAGAAGCAAGGAGAACTAGGCACGAGCAAAAGAACTTTTACAATTCCGAGGTGAACTCAGATACAAATTGCCCTTCTTTCCCATTTCCGTTCACAGAGGTTTTTAGTTACGCTAGTGTTTGTATTTAAGTCACTCTTCCTGGGTGATCCCTGATGGTGTTTACAGAAGCTCTGTGTGGCCCCTGAAGCTGCCAGTCTCGCACAGCAGGGACAGTGCATAACTGAAGTCACCTACATCCCACCCTCTAAAGGTTAACTCGGCTCAACTGCTGGTCACAAGTGACCAGGGTTTATCTAAAAGCTGACCCTCAGTTCGCAGAGGGCCACTGCAGCCTTGCAGGCAGAGCTCTACGGGTTGTAAAGCAAAGTCACCCACTGTTCCTAGTTAATCCTTAGACTGCTGAGAAAGCTGCTGGCGGTCTGCTCTTGTTCTCCTAGGCTTACAACTTTGTTTCTTTTTTTTCTACATTTTTATTTCTGAAACCTACATTCCCATATTCTTACTCTTGGACTCTTCATCACCAAAGCACTGATTTAAAATATTAACAAAATAGACATTCTAGAGGAGGTGGCTGGAGAGATGGCTTAGTGGTTAAAAGTTTGTATTGCTCCTGCAGAGAACCCAAGTTTGGTTCCCAGCACCCACACTGGGTGGCTCACAACCTCCTGTAACTCCAGGTCTAGGGGATCCAACACCCCTGGCCACCTCAAGAACCTGCACTCATGGGTACATATCAACACACATATACAAATAATTGAAAATAAAATAAATCTTCAATATTTTATATATACATACATATATACATAGATCCTAAACCCTGGCTAGGTGTGGTTGTGCCTGCTTGTGATACCAGCACTCAGGAGACTGGAGCTGGGCAGGAGCTCAAGGCTAGTCTGTGTCCAAAAACCCAAAAACACCACAGTTAGCTCATTTGGGAACAAAGATCTATATATTTGTGTGGTGGCTAATAATTCTACTTCTCAACTTCAAGAACAACTTAAATCTCAACAACAAGCAATGTGTACTTCCGGAATAACTAACACTAAAACACAATGCCAAGGATTACCAAGGATGTAGACCAATGGGACTGCTTACCCATTGCCAGGGAGACTGTGGGAAGCCATTTGCTATCTTCTCATAAGGATGAACCTGCTCAGACCCTAGCAAAGGAGTCAGTATAGCCCTAAGTGTATACCCTTGAGTGATTCACACACATGAAAAAGATCACACTATCCTATAGCCAATAATGAGAAACACCCAACAATCCATCAATAGCAAAAACAATGAATGAATCGGGCACATTCCTATAGTTGAACGCCGTAAGATAATGAAAACGAGTGAACTGCAGTTGCATGAAGCAATGACATTTAATAAGATAAATGGAGCTAGGGGAACAAGGTAAAATGACTGCATTTACATGAAATTCAAAGCACTTGGGACTAAGCAGCGCGTGTATACATGGTCGTCTACGCTGTGTGGGGAAGTGGTTGCCAGAAGGCTAGGAAGGCGGTTATTTATGGGTTGGCGGGAGGAGGACCAGAAAATGTAGATGGTGGGATGCTGTCAGAGTTCTGCTTTGTTTTACTTTTTTTTTTTTCTGAAAATATCTCTTGCCTTTGAAGAAAATGAACTTTCGCTGGGCCCTGCAGACAAGTTAACAACATACCTTGAGATCACTGAAGACTATATACTTAACCCACTGTTCTGCTGTGTCCATAACCTGTTAATCTGCCTTTAAGAGAACAATATAACCGATAGGCCGCTGGTGGTGCATGCATTTAGTCCCAGCACTTAAGAGGCAGAGGCAGGCGGATCTCTGAGAGTTCGAGGCCAGCCTGGTCTGCAGAGCGAGTTCCAGGACAGCCAGGACTACACAGAGAAATCCTGTCTTGGAAAATGAAAAATAAAAAAGAAGAACAATGTAACCAACCTCACCATGCCTTGGATTTCCCCTGCAAATCAGCATTTACAATTTAAGAGAAATGCATAGCCTTAATCTTAGTTAAATACCCTTCCATGCCCCTGACCCAGAGTAACCTATGTGTGCATATGTTAATGTAATGTGTAATCATTTGCTGAAAGTAGCCAATAGGTTGGAATAAACCTTAAGAGCAAATATCCCACAGATATTGAAAGCATCAGTGGGGATATAGGCAGAACTTCCTGTTTGCAGTTTTGAGTGGGTTCTGCCTGCATCATTTGGGTTAGTAATCACTTCCCTTGTAAAACCTTTAAAGATTCTGTGTGGAATCCTTTATCCCTTCCCCACGCCACGCTTCCTGTGCTGCTCAACTGATACAGAACAAAGCCCTTTGTAGAGACAGGAGACACAGGAGAGGTGAAGTATTCAAACCGGCTCATGCTGGATCAAACTAGCCCAAGAGGAAGTTCCTTTGTTTTCATTCTCCAGTGTGTTACCAGTGAACTTCTTGAACTGGTTCATGTTTACCCAGGAGCTTTTAAAATTTGTTCAGACTTTTTCTTTGATACAAGCATGTACAAATGTGTGTATTACATATATACACACATTTACTCATATACTTCATATTGTATGTGATAGACATAAAAATGTATTGACAAAGTAGTTAATCTTTGTTTGGCCACCAGATTTTGAAGAATGTGCTGAAGATAAAGGGCTCTCCAATCAGAAACAGAACATTTACAGGAAATTTGTATGTAGTTTTAGAAGATCCACAAATCTTTTTGAATTCAGCTATGAACAAGAGGGTGTTTGGGATCAATGCTGAAAACTTAGCTGTGATGTCTGTGGATACAAGGTCTACATTTGTAGGAGTTACTTTACGAGGGCATGGCTTTCTTTTTTAAGATTTATTTATTTATTATATATACAGTGTTCTGGTGCAGGCCAGAAGAGGGCACAGATTTCACTACAGATGGTTGTGAGCCACCATGTGGTTGCTGGGAATTGAACTTAGGTCCTCTGGAAGAGCAGCCAGCGCTCCTAACCACTGAGCCATCTCGCCAGCCCGGGCATGGCTTAAAAACCAAGGGGTGATCATGTATTTTTTTCTCTTTGAGACCCAGGGTGACTGTACAACAGACCACAGACCACAAGGCTGTCAGCTGGAGCAGCATGCTTCTAGTAGGCATGGGGTTACACAGGGCCAGTCTCTTAAAAACAGGACAGCACAGAAAACCAGGAGATTTGACAGTGATACTAAACTAAAAATTTCTCCGAAACTATTTTAGATGATAATAAAAAAAAATTCTGCTTATGCATCCAGTAAGGACAGAATCCACTAGTTAGAACCTGGGAGTGGTTGCCAAGCAACTCAGCAGTTCCTCCGTGGGCTAGATCCTAACAACTCTGAGTGGAACCAATGGTAGAACTTTTGTTTGCATACGTCCATCTGACCCGAACAGAAGAAGTGGGCAGCCTAGGAGGGGGACGTTCCAATGCCCATTCCCTATGGTGGGATGCCACGCTCAGCCTTAATGCAGGAGGGAGGGGCTTGGTCCTGCCCCAACTTAATGTCCCACAGGAGTCCTTACTGGTTGGGAGGACTGAATGAAGGAGTGGGCTGGGGAGGGGGTGTGAAGTGGGAGGGTGGGAGGAAGGGGGGAGAACTGTGGATGAAATGTAAAATAAAATTTAAAAAGAAAATTAAAAAAAACAAACAAACTAAAGTAGCCAGGCAGTGGTGGAACATGCCTTTAATCCCAGCACTTGGGAGGCAGAAGCAAGCATGTCTCTGTGAGTTCGAGGCCAGCCTGGTCTACAGTGAGTTCCAGGACAGCTGGGGCTACACAGAGAAACCCAGTCTCCAAAACCCAAAACCTACAAAGAAAGGAAGGAAGGAAGGAAGAAGGAAGGAAGGAAGGAAGGAAGGAAGGAAGAAGGAAGGAAGACAAAAGATTTCTATTTCTACTTAATTTTTCTGTTAAGTTTTTCTCTGAAAACAACTTGACTGTAGATTATAAATGGGTAAGATTTTCTCAAGAGACATGTAGAACCAAAGTGTCATCTGCTAAATGGTTATAAACTACCTGACATCTTATCTTAACTCACAAGGACAA